CCTATGTCTCTGTAGTTGCTTCTTTACTTCAGATGCTATGAGTTCAGAGAATTCTTTTTTTCAGAAAATAATTCCGCTCTGAATTCCTCTATAACTTCCTGCTGTTGCTTATTTAATTTTGACGCTATTAATTCATACATTTCAGCTGAGCTAGTGTCCTCTGCACTTGTTCTGGGTGGGCATTGCGTTTCCTCTATATGTTTCTGCATTTGATTCTTTACTGCTGATATTATTAATTCAGAGATTTCTTTTTTTGTTTTCTGTCTGAGTTCCTCTGTACCTTTCTGTAGGTGTTTCTTTATTTCAGAAGCTGTTTATTCATTTACTTCAGCTGTGTGATTCCCAATTTGTCTTGTGCTATTATCTTCTGCACCTGTTATGGATGGGCTTGGGGTCTGAGATTGCATTTTGTTCCTTCTCGTTGTCATTTTGTGTAGCACTGTTCTGACCTTTGTTGTAGAGCTTTGGTGCAATTATAACCTGAGCACCTACTGAAATTCATGTGCAGATCTGCAAAGTTTGAATTTATCCAGCTGTGCCTGGCTTGGGTCTGGTTGCTGTGCTCAGCTCCTTCTTGCTGCCGCCTTTGGAGTGAACCTGTTGTGCCCCTCTGGCAAGATGTTCTGCTCTTGAACTAGCTGGGTGATTCTGTACCCTACTCTCTCTGCAAGGACCTCAGCTGCCTAGTTTCACCCCAGGCCTGTTTGCCAGGCCTGAGCTGAGTGTGAAGGTGACAACGTGGAGTAGGGGGGAGAGGAAGCTCTCCCACACACTCACTGGACCTGGGCTAGGGCTGGATCTGGGGTCCCCAGAATGCAGCAGAAATTCTCACTAGGTGGGCAGGATGGGGTGTTGGTGTTGCAAAGTGGTGGGGGTGTCCCAAGGGGGTGGAAGAGGGTCTCACCCATGCTGCGCCTGGGCTTGGCCCAGCAGGTCCTGCTGGTGCAGGGTAGCTGGAAGCTCTCCCACACTCATTGCTATATTTTTAATTTACTTCTTCATCCTATCTTAAAACCCTTGCCATTTCCCAACCTTTTTTTTATTTTTTGAAAAGATTACAAATTAGAATTAAAACCGAAAAAATTACAAGTGATACAGAATTTCCATTAACAACGTAATATGCATTTCACGGAATTTGTTGCAATGCATATTGTTGTCTTTCAACCAGTTATTTATATTACCAGATATATGCATATAACATTGGAAGAAATAAAAAAGAAATATATAATTAAGAAGAGAAAAAGTACAAACAATTGAAAAAGGAGACAAAACAAATTATTGTCTGCTCATATCTAGAGACTATTGAAAATGCACAGTACAGTTGTCCAAACCATCCTGTTTACATCCATAGATAAATCGCTTTCCTCTACTGTCTCCTGTCCTCAACTTAGTAACTCTTTGCTTTTGAATAAGTTCATTCCTTTGTCTCAGTATCTATTGTAGCCTTCAGATTGCATTTTTCTCCTTCAGGTTGTACACTAAGAAGACAGTGTTTGCACATGCAGATTTAATTTATTTGACTTAAGAATATGGTCTAGTTATCCATGTACTGACAATTTACCCTGTTTTATAGCTCAGTAGTACTCCATTGTGTAAAAATACCACATCTTCCTTATCCATTCTTCAGTTGCTGGGCATCTGGATTGTTTCCAGGATTTAGCAGTTACAGATTGCCCTGCCATAAACATGCATGCACATATATCACTGTGGTGTGATGTTTTTAGTTCTTCTGGAAAAATACCCAGCAGGCTTGAATGGGACCTCCAGTCCTAGCTTTTGAAGGAATCTCCACGGCGATTTCCATAGTGGTTGTACCAGTTTGCACTCCCACCAGCGGTGCAGAAGTGTTCCTTTTTTTCCACAGCTGCTCCATCATTTGTTATTGGCTGACTTCATAATGTTAGCCCTTCTTTGTGGCGTGAGATAGAATCTCAGTGTTGATTTAATTTGCATCGTTTCCTAGTACATTAATGATGGCATTTTCACCCGAGGCCTGTAGACATGTATACTACTACTAGGTCCCCAGTTTAGTCTAGTTAACAATCATTTATAGACAGCATAATTTGTGATTATGTTTTTCACAATTTCTTTTCTCATTTTAAAAATATTATTTTACCATTTTTAAATTACAAAGTAATCCTTGTCATAATTTATATCAAATGGAGCCACTTTCTATGCCTATGTGCCCTATGCAGCTTACTGCTAGAAGTGAAGTAAACTGTTTAAAGTGATTCATTAAAAATCTTTGTGTTTTCGGGTCAAGGAGATAGCTCAGTAGAATAAGCCCTTGCCTGGCAGTCCCTGGTACTGCAAAACAAAACAAAAGAAAACAAAAACTTCATGTTTTCAAAGACAAACTATAAATATAGAATTGCAGTTTTAGTTGTTTTCTAAAATTAAAAAAAAAAAAAAAAAAAAGGAAAAACAGGGCTGGCAAAATAGCTCAGTGATCTGAGTGCCTGCCTGGCAGTGCAATGACCCAGGTTCAATCCCGGGCACCATATAACATGCCAGTCTCACCCCCAGGCACATTGAGCTGGTCACGGAAACCGTGTGTGGTGGTGCATGCCTGTAATCAGCGCTTGGGATGCTGAGACAGGAGACTCACAATGTGTCCAAACTGTATAGCAAAACTGTACCAAATAAATAATAATAATAGTTGTTTTTCTTAATGATATAGTGTAGACCTTTTTCTTGGTTGACCTATATGGCCCAGACTCCTTAATAGTTCCTTGCCAGACATGGTGGTATATGCCTGAAATTGCAGTACTCAGCAGGCTGAGGCTAGAGGATTGGGATTGCTGTGAGGCTGGCATAATGAAACCCTGTTGCAAAATTTATTTCCTTAATATTTTATAATATGAGCAAAGCATTATTCAGCCATTCTCCAACTGATAACCACTTAGGTTATCACAATGTGTTCCTTTTATAAGCAGTGTTTTAAAAATCACTATATATTTCTGTGTTTTTATTTTTCTTTAAAATTCTTAAAAGTAGAGTTGATATAACAATGTGTAACCATATATTTTTTGATGGATATTTAAGATTATTTCAACAAGACAGCGTCAGTGGCATGCGCCTGTAATCCCAGCACTTAGGAGGCTGAACACAGGCAGATCACTACGAGTCTGATCTATGTAATGAGACTGCAGACCCTTACTAAAATAATAAAAAAAAAAAAAATATTTCAGCAAATGCCATAGGAATTTATTCCTGAATAAATTCCTTATAATGTTGGAGATGGACACTGTGTACAACTTTTTGACATTTTGACAGGTAAACTATAATGCCTTATCAAAGTTTCTAGACAACCTGGAAATTGAAGCTCTTAAATAGTTAACAGCTTTTTAAAATTCTTTTTGCTTCGAAATATCTGCTCTTTTTTCTTATTTTGTTGAACTCTCTCCTTTTTTATTTATGAGAGACCATGTGTATATTTTATATGTATTTTCATTCATTTATTTCATCCATTTATTTACTACTTTTGTGGTTTCTGTATTGATCCTACCTCCTGATAGGGTGATAGTTACTAAGTCAGATTCACTGAAGTCATGCCTACTTGGTGTAGCCCTTGCCTGAGGGTCTTTTGCATTCATGACTAATGCTGAAGAACTGATAATGTGTGTGTTGTGCTTGTGATGGCACATGAATGAATACATTATAGTGACATAATGACATGCTTATTGTACCTGTTAGGACAGAAGCTAACACAGTTGTAAAATACACCTTTTAAGTTTTAAATTCTTCCCTTTGTAAGTTAGAAAACAAATCACTGCTCTGATTCCTGCTTTTGCTTTAAGTAAAATTCTGTTCTTTGAGTCATTGGATTACTTTTAATAAGCTTAGTATTTATCTTCTGCATTCATTTCTTTCACAGTGTATTTTTGCAATATAATAATGTTTAAGCATGCAGAAGAGCTAAAGCATTTGTACACTCAGCATTCATATCACTCACAGAGATTCTCCAGTTCACATTTTACTCTATTTGCTTTGCTTATGTATCTGCTTCTTATTTCCCTTTTCAGTTATCAGTCCATATTACCTTATGGTGCATTTCAAAAAAAGTTAAAGATGTTAGTGCATCTCTGAAATAGTATGAGTGTAATCAACTATGGTGAAATCACATGCAATAAATTGACCACTAAGTTGTCATATAATGTACTGTTCCATAATTTTTAACCAATATATGAACTTATGTAATCCAGAGGCTTTTAGCTTTTCTTGTTTCAGAACTCCGTGGAATCATATGTACTCTTTGTGCAGACTTAGGTTTCTGGGGTTGATCTACACTGCTGCATATATCAGTTCTCTTTAGTGCTTATTGGTGAAATATGAAGTATTTTTCTTTTAAATAGAAATTTCTAGTTTTGTAGCAGCATGTAGAGGTGCTATATAGATGTACAGATGGGCTTAGTACCTCGTCAGATATTAAATGAATGTCTTTTTTCTGTATTTTTTCTATTCATTACTGATTAGGACAGTGTAGAATATGCATTTCTTCATGTTAATTTATGATGGTCTCGGGTATTTCTTCAAAAGAATTTTGTTTTCCTTATAAATTGTCTTAGTGCCTGTGTTCAGAAATCAAATGACTATGTAAATGTGGGATTATTTCTTTATTGTCTACTTATTTCTGTTTATTTGTTAGTCAGTCTTTTTTCCAGAGCTATATAGTTCTAATTACTGTAGCTTTTTAGTAAGTCATACAATGTGTAGATCCTCTGGTGTTCTTCTTTTTCAAGGTTTTGATCAGTATTCTAGATTCTTTGTATTTTCTCCTGTGATAAAGTCTACATATCAGTTTCTGTAATAATGCCTATCCTATTTTGATTATGATTATATTGACAGTACAAATTAATTTGGCCTTCCAAGTCATGAGGATAGCATATCTTGTTTATTTGCGTTTTATCTCATTTCTTTCATGAGTGTTTTATTGTTCTTGGTGCCACATTAAATTTGTAATTAACTTTAAAGTGCTGTATTTTTTTTTTTCCTCGTAGGCTCTGGATCAGTATCACTGTATGAGGTAGAAAGATGTCAACAACTGTCAGCTACAAGTAAGACCATATACCTTTTTTGAGATAAGACACAGTAATTATACTTCTGTAGCAATGTGAGTTTTTCACATAAAAGAGATAAAAGTATAAATTAAGAGAAAACTGAATAAAAATTTCTGTTAGAATTAAGGTAACATGTGCCCTTTGTTTAATAGGTAGATACAGAGGTCGTTAGAGGTGTGTATGTGTTTATTTATGTGTTCACACACACGAATCAGTACACATATACAGGGCCGGGGAGATGGCTCAGTAGGACACGTGCTTCCCTGGCAAGCGCAAGGGCCTGAGTTCAATCCCCGGTTCTGCCAAAAAAAACCAAACAAACCCAAAAACCCACATATTAGTGCAGGTTTGTAAGTGTGCATTAGTGTAAAGCTCTGTGTACATATCCCTACTTGTTAGGACAGTGCCACCGCACAGACCCAATACCACTGCAGTAACAGGAAGCATGCTTAGTGCACAGATCTTGGTTTATAAGTAATACCCTAGGATTTCTTAGAGAAATATCAGATTCTTAGTCTAGGACAGAAAAATTATAAGATGAATCTGCAACATTTGAAAAGAAAGGAAATTCTCAGTGGTAGAATGCATCAGATCTAGGACCATTTGACTATCAAAATAAATATTAATGGCAATTAGGATTTATTGAAGAAAATGAGAATGGGTGAGCTCATGTTGAAGATGACAGTAAATAAATTAGGTTCAATGGAATATTTCCTTAGTAGAATGACAACTAATAAATGTGCATTGTGCATAAAATTAGAAAAATATCGCCATTTTGCAACCATAATAGTAATTAACTTTTGGTTGTGAATCAGTGGATCCTAGCCTATTAGTATCCTAAGTATTTGGTGATGAATAGGACATTTTCATTTTCCCAAGTACCTCCTTACTAATTACGAAGGGGAAAGGGGGATAGAAACTTTGTAATAGAAACTTGATGTGTTGGTGCGTGCCTGTAATCCCAGCACTGTAGAAGCTGAGGCAGGAGAATGACAAGCCCAGCCTAGGAAACTTAGCAATTTAATGAAACCCCATCTCTAAATTGAAAAAAAGAAAAAAAAAAAAATAAGTGCGGGGTGTGTAACTGTGTGAAGGCCCTAGGCTCACTCCCCAGTACCTGGAGAAGAATTTACAGTAGGGAAGGCTGTTAGACACTACCTTAACCAACTGAACGGGTTACATCTGCATTAGTGGGAAGGCTGATGAGTATCTCTTGATGTGATGCCCTGTGACGCACGCAGTGTCATGTGTGTGGTACTCCTGCCAAAAGTAGATGGCTTAAAGTTGAGCATCAGGAAAAAACAGACTTGCCCAGATTGATGTTTGTTCAACAAAATAAATGCCTGCACTCCTTAAATCAATGCCATACAAAAACAAAACCATAAGAATGAAGAGAAACCATTCTATGTTAATGAAATCCAAAAAGGCATGAAGGATAAATAGTATCTATGCTTTATAGTTGAATCCTGAGCCAAAAAATAAAATGCTTTTTTTTAAAAAAAAAAAAAAAAAAAAAAAAAAGCATTTTTAGCTGTAATGTGAAAAATATATTTTAATTTGGAATAGTATTAAATCAACATTAAATGTTTTACACTGAAAATTACACTATAATTCAGCGAAATGTTATTGTGAAATATCTCAAGAAAGAGGATCTGAAAATGATGCTTAAATAATTCAATAATAAAGCTATATGAAGAAATCCATACCAGGCTTGAGAGTAAATGTGCCAAAATTTAAGTTAGTGAATCTTGGTAAAGCATATGAGTTACTTTTGTTATTTTTACAATTTTTCTTTAAGTTTGGAAGTATTTTAAAGTAGGAGTTTAAAAATTCGTCTCAAAATTTGAGTGGAAACAAGTGTTGAATGAAGTCTGTGGCCTTTTGCCTAAAAAAACACACACAACTAAAATGGTCTTGTAAGTTCTTGCCTGCTTGCTTCCTTAAAGGAAAATGTATTCAATTATGATTTAAATTGGATTAAAGCTAGGTATGGAAAAGAATGGTCCCAATCACTTCAGGTTCATAAGTTTGTGTATCAGTTCCATTTTCTATAACGGACATGTTACGTTGGAGTGTTGAACAAGCACAGTAGGTTTCTTTCCTTAAGCTACAGGTTACCAGTGATTTTGTACCAACCCCAGTAATGGACCACTACAACATAAGCCTTCTGAACTGTTTCCCAAGCAGTTGCCTGTATTGCTTTTGTCTGGCCATTATTTCTGCTGTGAGCTTAGTCTCTCCCCTTCTGTCCCACAGTTCCCCTGTCCTTGCCCTCTGTCTAACTCCTTTTCTTCCTCCTCTAAAAGTCCTCCTTCACATACCTCACCACCACCATGACAGTTAGGTTACACTGAATGTCCCTTTTTCACTGTAAACTTTGATTCTTTATTATATGTGATTGTTAAGTCAGTAATTTTGAGCTGTCAGAGAGAAGAGCTAGCTGGTAAATATCAACAAGTATATTTTCTTTTTTTGTTTGAACACATTGTAGTTAGCATCTAAGTTGTCACACAATGGAGAGGTCTCCTAGATCAGTATTTTAGTGAATATTTGAAAATATTTCTCAAGTAACACAGGTGTTTACTTGGTAAAATAAACCTTGCTATTTTCCCTGAGTTAGCCAGGAAAGATACCTCTTCGCCTCATATAGAAATACTTATTTTACATTGCAAGGCAGTTAATTTTCTCTTGCCCAGTTATTCAGCTTATATTTAGTAGATTTGTTGAGTAGTCACTGTGTGCCTCACTTCGTGTTCGTGAACAGTGCTCCTATGACCCTTCCTTTTGTGTGATTAACAGTTAATAGAGCTTGCTCAGATTTTGTATTATATATTTGGTTAACAGGGATGAGTTGTGATTATACTTAAAACTTGTAGAGCTGGGAGGATAATAAGCGCTTGCCTGGCAAGCACAAAGGTCCTGAGTTCAATCCCTAGTTCCGCCAAAAAACAAAAATAAAAAATAAAACTTGTAGACATTATTTATTCTGATTTAATGTAAAAAATCTTTACAGTACTTACTGACCATCAGTATTTGGAGAAGACACCATTATGTGCCATTCTGAAACAAAAAGCTCCCCAGCAATACCGAATCCGAGCAAAACTAAGATCGTATAAGCCCAAAAGACTTTTTGAGTCTGTGAAACTTCATTGTCCTAAATGTCATTCACTGTAAGTATTTTTCAAAATAAAGCAAAGGTGTTCATTTCGTATTATAGTATTTGTGTATAAACCTTCACATATATAGTCCTAAGTCCTGAAAATGAGTAAGTAGTGACTAGTGTAGTAATTTGGAAGAATAGTAAGATTTAAAAAAATACTAAATTCTTAGTAAATCTCTTCAATTTATTCTTAGTAATAATAAATAACCGATTTTTCAAATTTCAAATTTAGGCTAGTAGCTATAATAAGTGCAAATGGGAGGGGATGGGGATTTGGCTCAGCAGTAGAATGCTTGCCTAGCAAGCTGGAAGCCCTGGGTTTGGTGCTCGGCACCAAAAACAAAAAAATGAACCTCCTGTAAGTGCAAATGAGAAATGGTAAATTATGAGGGAATTTACTTTCTTGTCACAAAAATGTCTTCTTAAAAAATAATCCTAAGCAGGTGAGTGTTCTAAGTGAGTGATGTAGAAACCTTGTTGGAAGCACTTGTATATTGCTTAAGAACTATACTAGATGAGTACTAAGTACAACTTAAATTTTTGTTACTAATAGAGAAATTCTCAGATGAAGTCTTAATTCCAAATACCATGTCTCATATAAAAATTTAAGTGGAATTATAGACCTATTTTATAATCTTACGAATATGCACATAAGACAAATTCAGAAATCATTTTAGCTTATATTTATCTTTTTAATGCCACTTGACTATCTCTAAGTATAAAATGTTTTTTTAAAATGTAGGTAATTTATGTATGTGTACGTCGGGATGCCTTAAATCGGC